TCAGCGCAACCCGAAGACAACATGACTAGTGATCGTGAATCACCATGGTTTTTTATTAAACTTTTTTCGACTCTGAACCTGTTAACGAAAATGAACTGAATCTGGAATGGGCTGCATCCCACAAATTCCAAGATGTACTGTCGATTAATGGATATGCAAATAATATTAAATTTGTATACCTGCGTGGTTGATTGCATCATTTGGCCAAAGTTATTTTCAATCATTCAGGGAAGTTAAGAACACTGTTGAGAAACGGGGAGGGTAATCGAGTCACGAATGCAATTTTGTATTGCAGTCAACCAGTCATGAGATTTATAGCGCATGTATTGCCATAGACACAGGTTCTGCATGGTATCTTGAAATTCAGCCTTTCACAACATGCATTTGCAGTAGTCCAAACTTTGTTTACTGCGGATTGCATAAATACTGGGCCTAAAAAACTTTCAGCCTCATTGGTGACGTTGCTTTGAAAGTATTTGAAGAAATTTTCGGAAGAAAAGTTAAATTTTCAGTGGCAGCAGTTTCTATGTGAATTTTTCAATTGAAGCAGCGTTTGCGCTATGAGCAGTGGAAACCGAGTAAAGGTAAACCCACAAGAATGATGGGCATGTGCTTATTCTTTTGGAAAATAGTATTTAGGGTTCCGGTGAATTTTAGTGCTCAGATAACGTTGGATTCCTCCATGACTCCAATTTCAGCATGTTCCAAGCTCGAAAATGTAACATACATCGTCGTTGGTGATTTTTTCGTGTCCTCTTATCCAGTTTAGGGTCAAGCTGTTACAGTGGCATTTAATATGAGGATGTTAAGATTTAAGAGAACCTCTTTTTATGACCTCGTTTGAAACATCGTTAGGTGATTCATTAGGAATTTAAGAACAAACATCTAAAATATCACTTTGAGTTTCATGTCAACATCTTGGTTAATTGATCAGATGTGGTTCTTCAGTAAAGAGAAACATCAGATAAGTTTTCCGTGCAACTCTTGCTCAATGTTAAGTAGTAGGAGTAATTCATTAGCACTGATAATCGGTTATCATTTACTGCTGAGGGCATCCAGAACTCGATGCGGCGGATGCTGATGAACTTGTAACTAAATTTTAAATATCTGTCTCTGTCTTTATTTTCTGTTTAATTCCTCAGTAATTTTGGCCATTTATTTAGTCACGATATGGATTTTGAAAATGTTTTAATGTTTGAATTTTGAGATTTTGTCTTTTATCAGAATATCCCCATAGCATGTTAGCCCCGCAAGAACAGATTGTTTAATTAACAGAATGTAATCACGTACATCTTCTTCTGTAGTTAGCAGTAGATAAGATAGCGATAACACCTATATTCAATAAATATCTGACGTTTTGACCAAGCAGGCATTATCCGGGTATAGGAAGTATGTATCGAACAACAAAAGGTCAAATATCAAAGTGACCTTATGTACTTTGACACGTTTCATCCGCTCATATTATCACTCATGTTAAACAAGGATATTATTGTCTTTCATGCTGTCAGATTTAAACTAGCCCACTTCTACACGACCGAAAAGGAACCGTCGACTGCAGGTAGTTCATTGGATCAATACAGATGGCCAACGATGTAAAATACTTTGTTGTTTTTGCGCGATACCTTTTGTCTGCAGTAAATACGTATCAAAGAATCCTGCTAGATGCAAAATCCAGTTTCGTGAAATTCCTTACCATTCTGCAGACTAGCAGGATTTGAAAATGCAGTTGCAATCGCACAAATCCGACAGAACTGAATCAGTGGCGATTCTTTCGTTCTTCGCCAATTATATCGTGTGAGTCACACAGATACAAAAAACAGCCTGTGTGATTCTCAGAATCGTCCTTGTAGAGTTCTTTTTTCGAGGGCAAAACTTAATTCTCGAAAGCGAGTATCTAAAGTCAGGTAACCTGACTAATTTTGAAACAAGTTTGAAATCTCTTTCTTTATTATACCTGGCAAAAAGTAGTTTACAAATAACATATCAAAAAGATACAAATAATACAAAAAGATTTCAAATAACTTATCCATCTTGAATGATTTAGACCAGTCGGCATTGTGCAACGAATCGCGCCGGCTGCCACAGTTTCCGCTGTCATACGGCATGAAAGTTTGCTACCGGTTGGTAGGGCTGTTGGCGGCCTTGGGAAATTCGTACAGACGGATTCCGTCTAATTTCATATCCAGGTTTCCTTTTCTCGCCTTTGACGAAACGACGTCTAACCGCAAGGCGAATGTGACTTTGGCATCCCTTTTTCTTCAAAGCTATGGATCGCGTTCTCCTCGTCATACTGTCATTAGGCATTACGACTTTTTCTAAGGAATAAACTTGCTTTTCTCGAACTGAGCCACGTTCCACCCTGTCTGGTGGCCTCACCGCTGCATGTCCGGGACTGCTTATTTTTCGCAGCTAATGTCCATAGCGTAAGGTCGCTTCCCTACCCGTTGGTGGCCAAGGTACATGCCAGATGGCCTTCAAGTAGGCACACTGGCTGTCCATCCATCCCTGGTCCATCACCGTTAAAAATTCTCATAAAGAGTGACGTAGTGGGCAATCTGCATAGAAGTGGAAATCAGCTGGAATCGCCAGTGCTTGAGCCAAACTTGTAAGAAATATGCGAGGAAAAAGACTCTTCACCTAGACTGAAGAAAAATCGCTTTATTCTGACATCCAGCGCCATCTGAAGTAGGGTTGCTGCCGGGTCGATCAGTGATTGCTGCCCTAAGATATTACGGCACCAAGCGTGCTTATGGGGATTATGGAGTTGGAATAGGTGGTTCGTTATGGACAGGCCAGTGTTAGAGTAAAAGTTCAGTAACTTTATACCATTCAGTTCGTATGGGGATCACTAGAGGCAATTGTTCTTCCTTATCACGCCTCTGTACCTGATTACGACTTACATATTCGTTTGTACCTTCCATACACTAAATTGATGTCATGTTAGTTACCCTTTTCAGGGTTGCGCCGACTTCTTCCAGGAAAAGTATATAGCCTAACTTTGAATTTGGTACATGCACTTATACCAGAATCAGTGCCCACATTCCAAGTCTGGGCTCCGGCTTATAATTTTTTTTCAAGGTGAATCCAGTCAACAACAGGGTCACTAATTTGACGGTTCACGAGTATAGTCATCCCTGCGTGTGCTAATGTGTGTGATCAGACCTTCTCCAAAGTAGCGAAGCTACCACCTGTTTTTGAGGTCGAACAAATTGCAAGGCAACGAGTAGTAGAATTGATTCTTACTATGCCTACCTGGCAGTGGTTTGGTTCTGTAAGCAGCTTTTGTTTCATGGCAGGCAGACAGACAACAGACATCTTAGTCAACAAAATTCGCGGTCCGTTGATTTCGTCGGTTCGTTATAGATTTCACTAAAGTCGTTTTCCTGCTTTGCGCTCCTCGTAGTTGTGGCTGTGTATGAATGACGCGTCCTTTAATGGGGTAATTTATTGTGTCAGGTCTCTATATGTTTAATTATATGATCACAATATTTTGTAAATTTACTCCATTCAGGATTTAAATATAAAATGACGTTGGAATTAACATGAAAACCTTAAAGCATCTGGGTGTTCAATTTTCAGATTTCTGACCAGTTTGTAACGTCAAATTTACCTTAAGCGTTATTAATGGTGTACAAACGGATAATGACATATTTGTTATCATGAGTAATTTCAGTTCCATTTTTTGCACTCTGTATTGTTCATTCAAATGCTTTTTGCCAGTTGATGGTTTTCCCAAAAATTATGGGGAGAGATTATGGTGCAATGCGCTGACGTTTGCTTTATTCTTTAGCAGTGGTAGGTTCAAACCCCGTGCTCTATTTCAGTTTCCTCTCAATGACTTATAATTCTCTTTAGCAAGGAATTCACTCAGCTGAGAAACCAGCAGCAGTTCGTTCACCTGCGACGGGATAGATAGTAGGACGAGTGTAGTGTTTTCTGATGTTTTCATGCCCAAACGTCCGGCGAGATATACGACTTAGCTGTCTGATGCGTGAGCCTTTTGACCACAATTGGCTTTCACCTAACTGATAGCTGAGTAACAGTCAGCACGAGACGTAAATATAAATAAGAGTATTAGTGACGGAAAGCCACTTTTGAAAAAAATGTGGAGCGTTTCATCTTTTTCAATTTCAATTTCATTTGCGTAAAGCACACAAAGGGTATTCAGCTTCATACAGTGGATATTTTTGATGAATATCATACAAAAACGAACCATAGACAATGGAGGAAATAAGCCTTCTGCTTGTACATGTGGACAAGTTCATGTACCTCGGGGTAGTGTTTATTGTTGAAGAAGAATGGAAGGAAGCGATCGTTCGTCTGGCGAATTGAAATGACGAGCGGTATTTTGCGTCAACTAGCCCGAACTGTTGTGAATAAGGCAGAGCCGAATCTGAGGACTCAGCTGCTTGTGTCCAGGTCGATCTTCATCTCCATACTGGCCTTTGATCATGAGTCGTGCGCCATGACTGAGAAATCGTCATCCCATGTACAACAGTCTGAAATGTGCGTTTTGAGATGAATCGCTAAGCTGCCACGTCTCGACAGGGTCCAAGTTTCAGATATTTGAGAGAGCATTTACGTATAGATTGAGAAGTTACAGCTGCAATGATTTGGCAACTTCTTACGAAGGCCTCCACAAAGGAAGACGAAACAGCTACTACTTGCTCAACTGACGGGCGGAAGACCCCGTGGTCGGCCAAGAATAACCTGTGGCAAGTGCCTCAGCAGATTCTGTTACAGACTCAGGCTCTCTCCTGTCAAAGCTCAGACGCTAGCACAAGATCGGGAACGTTGGAAACACTGACTGATGCATCTGCCTCCGCGACGTCATTAAAACTGACTGACTGTTCAGTACACAAAATTCGTTGCTCCAATGGTTTGTAATTTTGCAACAGAGGGCTGCTGACTCGCCTGTTGAAGCTAGGGTTTGGAAATCATACTGGAACCCACTGCGGTAGATTGGCAGGTGTTTGACCTTCTACCAGCCAATAATATAACTAGCGGTTTCGTGCACGGGCTATCACAGAAGGAAATTGGCTGAACAGGCGAAACGATGAAGCTTTAATTTTCCAATCCTGCGAAAATATCAACCGTGGCAAAGGATACAAATTTTGTACGAACTTGGACAAGCTTGTCTAGCTATTTAACTAGCAATACGGGCCAAAAGCAGACCTCTAGCTGCAAACGTTACGAAACTGCGGACCACAGTATGAATGGCGGAAGTCAATCCTTTCTACCCTGAAGAAGGCCCGTGAGACA